CAAACGTTCGCGGGGCTTTTCCTGTCTACCTGGTCAGTGCATCTGAGTTGAGAGTGCTGTCCAGAGCGGTCACAATGAAGCACTGTGGGATAGCTTCCGGAGGCCAATAACGTCGAATTCCGTCCACACTACCCCAAATCTGACCCGCAAAGGCCGATTTCAGCGCTAATCCCCTCGTCAGAGGTGGAGTAAAGAAACCAGTTTAAAGAGCCCTTTAAATCGAAAAAAAGGGCTTCGTCGTGTGGACGTGTCCAGGCTTAATTCGACCTAAACTCGTAGTGTAGACCAGGCCTCAGTGGCTAGTCCCGTTCACAGCAGCTTCTCAGTGCACAGGCTCCGGCTTGTGCAGAGCATGACTGCCTACCTCCTCATAGGGCGGCCACTGTGACCACACCTGCCATCTGCCCTAGTCCCTCTACTTGGTCCCGTACTAGGACATGGTCCTATCTAATATTCAAAACCATTAGTGGGCATGGCCCAGCTACATCAGCAACTGCTTCTCCATTCACCATCTTTTGGTACAATCGAAGTTACAAAATCAAGGACAAAGTACATGAGAGCTAGAAATAAAGTGCTCAGTCCTCAGCTGTGGGTGATCTCCTCTCAGCACAACCGAGGTGGGAGGGCAGGGGAAAAAGGTGGCTCTAAGCACTAGGGCCAAATGGGTTCTTTTCTAGCCCCCAGAACCACATAGAACAGTCTCAGGGCTGCTCTAAATTGTGCCAGTTGCAACAGCTTCCTTGGTGTTGACCTGGCAGATATTCGACTGATGCCATGATAAGAGCCAATTATTTTGGAATGTCAGTACATCTCAGACCAACATTCAACCAGAGAAATCCAAGCAGCATTAGAGAAATAAAGTATGAAGAAAGAGAAAATGTGCTAGGGTCGTAAGAGATTTCTCAGCCACAAAACCCAGAGCTGCATCAGTTTTCATAGTTTATGGATGCTTCTCCCAACAGGGTCAGTTTTGACCTCAAAAGTGCCTATTTCAATCTCTCTGGCAAAGAAGACTTAAGTTCAGAAGCACCCTTATAGATTCTTCTTATTCTGCAGACTTGCACGAGATCTAGTCACCAGTCTACCTACCTACCTGTCTTATCCATCTAATGGTTTTATTACAGTCCCCATCTAAGTACTTCCTAGGCAAGTTAGATTTGCAAGGAATATTCTGGTGGAAGGGAATTATCTTCTTCAGCCCCTTCCCTACTCTCTTTCCCACCCCCAGTCACCCCTTACTGGTTACAGAGGGAAAGATTTATGGAAGAGAAGAGTCTTGGAATGAGCATGAATGTGATGAGGCCCTGGATTAGTCTAATCTCAGGAAGTTCATTTCACAGACAAATCTCTTGACCAAGAATGCTTTAGGTCAGATCCTGACTCCCACTATGGTGCCTGTATGGCTCCAGCACAGCTAAGTGGCTTCAGAACCAACTTAGTGAGCTGAAACCATCCTAGTGTAGGGGATGAGTACAATGCCACTCTTCACACAGCTCCCTGACCAGGAAATGTGGCCTGAGGGGAACGGGTAGGTGCTCAGATACTATGGTGATGAGCACTTAATAGCTAGTGTGAATTACAATAAATGCCCAGATAAACATGATCATTTCCACCCTGTGGCACTGTGTACCTCAAAACAGCACCCTGGAACCCCCATATTCACCCCTGTCAGGGCCGGCTCCAGGCACCAGCGAAGGAAGCAGGTGCTTGGGGCGGCCAATGGAAAGGGGTGGCACGTCCGGGTCTTCAGTGGCAATTCGGTGGCAGGTCCCTCAGTCCCTCTCGGAGCAAAGGACCCGCCGCTGAATTGCCGCTGAAGAATGAAGCAGCACGGTAGAGCTGCCGCCGAAGTGCCGCCGATCGCGGCTTTATCTTTTTTTTTTTTTTTTTTTTTAATTTTTCCGCTTCACCGCTTGGGGTGACAAAAAAGCTGGAGCCGGCCCTGACCCCTGTCATATAGTTATGATATATTTCATACAAAGCATGCCATGAAAGATATCATATGAAAAATCATGATCTGCTGAAACCCATTGTTCTGTCCAAATATGTATATCATTAGTGTGTATGAAGTTATGAGATTTTGCTGGATGGCTATTACTGAAATATGTTATAAGTTTGAGAGTCTCTAATGCTAGTTCTCCAATGACAAAGGAAGTGACCAACATCCGGGCGGGTTTTGAACAATCATCACCAGCCATTGATCAGCAAGGGAACAGTAAACAAGGGATTTACAATTCAAAGATAGTTGCGCAAGCACCACACAATGGGGACTGCTCAACTCTATGACTCAGTTGCACAAGACCACACCAGGGTTGCTCAACCCTGTGACTCAGCAAGTCCAGGCATGCCTGGTGGGCCTAGCGTCTTCCAGGCACATGGACTGAGGATATAAAACAGGGGACAATAGCATCATGCTTCTGCCTTTCCCCTGCCCCACCTACGCAGGAAGCAACAAGAACACTGGGAGACAAAGATTTCAACTGAGGAGACTGGTCCCAGGCTTGAGAGAGAAGCCTGTGTGTCCGGTGGGGTGAGAAAACTGCTTGATCTAAATACTATCTAGTGTAACAATATTTAAGATTTAGACTGTGCTCTGATCTTTTATGCCTACCAGTTATAATCACTTAAAATCTATCTCGGTGTAGTTAATAAATCTGTTTTATATTTTACCTAAAACTGTGTTTTGGTTGAAGTGCCTGAGAAATCTCAACTCAGTTTACAAAAGCTTGTATATGTCCTCTTGACATTGGGCAGACTGGGTAATAAACTTACACTAGTCAGGCTTCTGACCAGGTCAAGATGGTATAGCTCTGCGGTGCAAGGCTGGGGAGCTGGGGGAAATTGGCTGGTGCCTTTCTCTGTGTGATTCATGAGTGGCTTTGGGAATATTCATGCAACCTAGCTGAGTGTGGGGATCCACATGCTGTTGTGCTGAGTGATAACAGCACCCGGAGGGGTTTGCTCCTTGTCACTAGCTTAGTATTGTGAGAGACAGCTCAAGCTGGAGAGTTAAGGGGACACAGCGGTACCCCAGTTCCAGGTTGCACCCTGGCGTTCCCATCACACACCCATACTAACTCTTTGGATAAATGAAGATTTAGCCAAATACTTCCTTGCATTATCTAACTACTCTGGGAATCCCACAGCAGACCAGATGCAGGTACTGGCTTGTAGTACAGTAGCTTGCAGACAGCACTCTACTATGTACCATGCTCGGTGCCAGCATCAGCATGGCTTTACCACAACTCCACATAAACTTGGTAAGGGAGGGGGGTTGTGACTCCACTTACAATTTTTATCTTGTGTTTTAATATAGAAGATGCCAAATGAAAATTTACAGAAGAAAAATGTTAATAAAAATAAAGTGAATATAATTTATTTTTGTATCTTGCATTCAATTTTACATTATTCCCGACCTGTTTTTTTTAAATGGCCTCTTCTTTAATTGGGATAGCTACTTAAGCATAATTAATGACACCACAGTGGATAGCCTAGAAATGTTCAACTGTATTGTTCTACACATCTTATCAAACAAATCTAATCATCACTTGTATGTGTTTGTAAGTCAAGAACAGCTGCCAATTCCATTCAGTTGTCATGTGCTTGTTTCTACAGAGACCAAAATGTAAATATGTTAGATGTGTTCTCTCACTGCTGTTATTGTTGCTGTGCATATGGGTTCCAGTTTCAAATCTCTTTTGACCTTTTTTTTTTAAGGGGTGAAAATTTGAAACAATCACAGATTGAAATTTGACATATTAAGTCATATCCAAGGGGAAAACATTTCTGGGTTTGTTTCTTTTAATAAAGCCTCACCCTCAAAAAACATTAACTAAAGTGTGTACTTCAAAGTTTAATCATTGAGGTGATGGGGACTTTTTTTTACATTATACAGCTCAAAATGAGTTGATTAAAAAAGTAAAGTTTAGCAAGGGGTCATCTATGCAGTTTAACTTTGATCATTAATTTACAAAGATGACCAACTGATTTTAAATGGGCTAGATATTTAACTCTGAAATACTGGTTGAGCAATAACCACACTGCAATATATAGAATGAGGATTTTCACTCTCACACTCAACCTGCATATTCTATTTTGCACATAATACATATACAATATTTTCATTTACTCAACTGAGAATTAATTAGTCCTTATGCAAACCATTTCCCCATTCTGCTAATCAGCATTCAGGGGATTATATAAATGTAAAACAGTTTTTGTATAACAGAAAACCATACATCTCCTGGATACTATGGTGATGAATAAATGTATAATGTCTGAGGGTGACAGTGGGGAGGGAAAAGCAACTGTACATCCTCACACTCTGATTGGCCAAGACTATTCAATTTCAACATAAATTCAAGTAAATTGTCATGAATGGGAATTTATGTTTCCAATTAGGAGAAAATAGATCCCTGTAGGCCTTAACTCAGAACTGCAGCTTCATTGGTTTATATTTATAGTGTATACATATGCATATTTGCTTTATATTTCACAGGACGTATATACCCTGAACTCCCTTCCTTAGCCACCAGTGAAGCCTCTAGCAAAGAGTGATAGATCTCGCCTGCCTCTCACTCCCTGGCATCCAATGAGTCCACTTTTCAGCTGCTTCATTGGTTTTTCTTAATATTTGCCCTTTCTAATTTTATGTTCAGCTCTTCCTCATCGTGATCCTCACCTTTCCCTTCTGAATTTCTCTCCCATTTACTCATTTTCAGTGTCTTAAAATCCATTTTCATTACTCCAATCACTAATTCTCCATTCTCTTGCCTTCTGACTCCATGTTGAACCCTGTGCTCCCTGAGTTAAACTCCAAGTGCCTCCATTGTGCTTCCCGGCAGAAGGCCCTACCCCTGCCCAGAGCAACGGGAGAACATGCACCAGGAAGCGATGCACTCAAAATGCAGCAATGAGAACATCAGAGAGTCAGAATCCTGGCCGCTCCCTCCAAAGCGCCCCTGCTCACTCTGCTCTCGGCCCCTCACAGAGATCAGAGTTACTACTCTGCCTGCATTCTGTGTGCCAACAGCCTACTCCTTTGCCCACAGAGATCAGTATGGGCTGGACACTCTGTACTGGTTTTTCACCATTTGAAGCAGCTTGTGCTTGAAAGTAAGGAAGATGACAGCAAAGGCAACTAGCAGGGTCAGGCAGGCAGGGAGAGTAAGCACCAGGTACAACAAAGCCATATTCACTGTCATCCGCCTGCAGCTCTGGAGCACAGACTCAGGCAGCCCCACTGTATTAATAATGTTAGAGGAGTAGTTGCAGGTGACCTGCCCCCTGTCCACAACACGCACTGTCCTGAGACTGTGAAGGAAGTCCCACCACTCCAGCTTGCAGCAGTCAAATGGGTTGTGGCTGAGGTAGAGCACACTCAGACTCCTCCCAAGTTGCTTCTGCATTGAGTGCTGTGGAAGAGAGGGAAGATGGTTTCTCCGGAGATCCAGGGTATGCAGTTTCAGACCACTCAAGGACTCTGGGAAGCTGGTCAGGGAGTTTTCAGAGACGTCCAAACTTACCAAGTTCTGAAAGCCAGAGAAGTCAATGTCTTCCATGGTGGAAGAGAGGCCAGTGTTCCTGAGAGATAAAACCTGCAGCATTAGTGCAATATCTTTTAGAGGTTGTAGGCCCCTAGCCAGTGCTCTCCGATTGTTAGACAGATCTAAGTGTGTTAGTGGTGTCCCACTGAAAGTATTGCTGGCCACCATTTCCAGGCCACACCCAGCCAAGTAAAGTTTCCTGAGGGATGTTACATTCCTTAAGTCTATGCAGATGGGATATTCAGCCGCATCTGCATTAGCTTGCTGGGGACAGAGGTCTATGTGGTTGTGACTGAGGTCAACTGTAGTGATCTCTGTGTGGGTGAAAATGTTAGGCGGCACCCTCTGCAACCTATTGGTACTCAGATTAAACGATCTAAGGTTTGGCAGGGTGCCTTCAGAACCTAGATCCACCTGCAGTTCTGAGAGCTGATTCTGGCTGAGATCAAGGTCCGTGAGCATGCCCAGGGGTTCTCTCTCCTGGATGTGAAGGGTCTCTAAGCAGTTCTGGTTAAGCTTCAGATGGGAGAGGGAAGTCATCCTTCCCAGGAAGCCATCAGGGAGGTACCGGAACTGGTTCTGGCTCATATCCAGAAAGCTCAAGGAAGAGAGATTGCTCAGGCTGACCTCTTCCCAGAGACTGAGGGTAGTGACATTAGTGGTATTGCCCTCTATGAGAAGGAACTGCACCGTGACATCCATGAGGGACGTAGCATTGGGAAGTTTGCGATAAAAGCTCATTTCATTGTCCCTCAGCAGCAGGGAGCGCAGTTTGCTCTGTCTTGGTAGTAGCGGGAAGAACAGGAGCCGGTTGTGGGAGAGATCTAGCGTCTCCAGCTCAAAGACAGCATCACCCTCTACGGCGAGGAACCACTCGATGATGTTGTTGCTGGCATTAAGCATCTTGAGCTGGGTCAGACCAAACTCCACGATGCAGGGAATGTAGTTGTAGGCCAGATTAAGCATCTGCAGGCCCTGCAGGCCTTCAAAGGTGCCCCCCTCAATCTCATAGATGTAGTTCTTCTCCAGGTTCAGCTCCTGCAGCTGGCTCAGGCTTTCAAAGACAGAGGAGTCCAAGCGCATTATGATGTTCCTGGCCATCGACAAGGACTCCAAGGAGGACAGGTTGCAGAGCATGGTAGCCACCATGTCCTCAGTGAGATGATTCCCAGACAGGTCCAGTTTCCTCAAGGCTGGTAAGGAGCGAAGAGCAGCAGCCGTCACAGAGTAGTTTGTAAAGAGGGTGTTGTCTGCCAAGGAGAGATTTTTGAGGTCTCTGCTGCCAAGGAAGGCCCCAGGTTCAATGAGTTCCAGTCTGTTCTCACGCAGGCTCAGTGTCTCCAGGTTTTGGTATTGCTGCAGAGAGGTATTCTTTAGGGTCCGTATAGTGTTGTGATCCAGGAAAAGCACCTCTATGTCAGCTGGGAGGTCTGCCGGGACTGTGCCTTGCCATCTCCCATTGCAATCCACAGCTCTGTGCAGCTGAAACAAAGAATACGAATATATCTATATCTATATATAAACAACACTGGAAATAGTGAAACTGGGGGCAAAGGCTTAGAGTTCAGATGGGAGAGGGTGCACAACATCTGATTCTTTATTTTCTGCCATCATCCTGACCTCTCCGCCTCTCCCAGACGACAAACATCAGATGGTAGCAGCAGTCATTTTTGCTTGAATCACTGATATAGTGAAGCCTGTGGGCAGCTGGGGGCAGACAATAACTGCCCCTCAAAAGACATACGAGATCAGATTGGCCTACTCTGAAGTTACAGCCAGGGTCTGCTTTCCAGCTGACCAACTATGTTCCCTATCTCCCTTTAGGACTCCCTGCTGGGATGCACTGGAAAGCAGAGCCTGCCTACAGGAGTAAATCAGGGCAGGACATGATCCTGCTCCAACATTCTCCCAGCCTGCTTACCCTGTTGGAATAGCACCAGCCAGCCTGCTCCTGGAGGCTGAGTGGCTGACTTGCACCCTTCGTGGTTCCACGGGCAGCAGCAGCATATAGCAGAGCACTGGTAGAGCAGACCTGCTGTTAGAGCTCCCACTCAGTGGATGTGGATCAAGAGATTGTATGTGGGGGTCAGTATCATTGAGCAGAGGATCACAGAGTATAGAGCAAATGAGGGACCAGGAAGAAAGAAAGGGGACTTCCCACCAAGGAGGGGGAAAGAGCCAATCAAGAAGAAAGAGGGATTTGGAATGATGCAGAGAAGAGGGTTCGGGGATGCAGGAAGAGGAGGAGAAATTAAGGGTGCAAAGCACAGAGGAGATGAAGGTTGATCTTGTGGTTAAAACACTGGATTGGGACTCAAATTCTGGGTTCATCTCCAAGTTCTGCCCCAGAGTCCCTGTGAGACCTTGGCTGAAACACAATCTCTCTATGCTTTCCTCAACCCCTCATCTGTAAAACAGAACAGCAGCATTTCCTCTCCTGTCTTCTCTACTTAGACTGTAAAATCTTTGGGGAAGGGGCTGTCTCTTACTTTGCATATGCACAGGATCTAGCACAATAATGTCCTGGTCTCATCTGGGAGCTATAGGCACTAATGTAGTACAAACAAAAAGAGGAGAAAACAGGACGAGAAGAGGAAAGAACAAAAGAGAAACTGGAAAAAATCCACCCTGTTCTAATCAGTGCCTCTTATCAGAGATAAGCTGGCTGCGGGGAGCAGAACCAGTTCTGTCAGCAGGAAGCAGCACAGAAAGACTGAAATCACCTAGCCTGGCTAAAAGGACTAAGGCTAAGAAATGGTGAAAATAAAGCAGGGGAAGCATTGCATTTGGTTTGCTATCACATGCCAGGCCAGATCCTCCAAAGGGCTCAGCACCCACAATAGGGGCCAAATTTTCAAGCTCAGTTCTATCAGGGCCGCCTGGGAGAGGGGGGGGGCAAGTGGGGCAATTTGCCTTGGGCCCCGCAGGGGCCCCCACGAGAATGTCGGAGGCTCCCCCCGCCTCTGCCTTCCCCCATAACTCCGGCGTCTCAGCACGCCGCGACCAGTAGCGGCCCTGGAGAGCGCTGCAGCGGCGTGTCTCGGGCGGGGCCCGACGTCCTCCCACTCGGAGCCGCGTGGTAAGGGGGTGGGGCTAGGGCTGGTGCTACCATTTAGGCAAACTAGGCAGTTGCCTAGGGCGCCAAGATTTGGGGGCGCCAAAAAGCGGTGCCCCCAATTTTTTTTTACAGCGTTCCTATGCCCCCTCCCCGAGCGCGCGGTCGCCGCTCCACTTCTCCCACCTCCCAGGCTTGCAGCGCCAATCAGCTGTTTGGCGCCGCAAGCCTGGGAGGGGAGGAGAATTAGAGCGGGGGGCTGCGTGCTCAGGGAGGGGGCATAGCAGAGGTAAGCTGGGGTGGGGAGCTGCCGCACGGCTCCCCGGGGGGGGAACTGTCGCGGGGGGGTGCCTCAGGGCGGGGGGGGGGGCGGGGGGCTGCCGC